TTGTTCTCTGTCTCTCTCTCTGCCTACTTTTTGTTTAGTCTGCTTCCTGCCTACTTTTTGTTTAGTCTGCTAATTGTCACAGGATATTTTGCCAATGGCATAAGCATCATACCCAGGAACTTGTATGTACTTATCATGAATGCAAATTCTTGGGCCCTATTCTGGGTCTACTGAAAAAGAAACTCTGGGAATCCAGCAATCTGCATTTTGACAAGTCCTTCAGGTGGACAACTTCAGGTGATTCTAATACCCACTAAAGTTTAAGAACGTTGATATAGTGGTTTTAAGTGTAAAAATTAGTGGGTTTTCATATACATTCATCAAGTTGTAAAATTATCACCACTATCTAATTCCATAGTATTTTCATCATTCTAAAAAGATGCCCATTCCTTCCTCTCTTCATCCCCTGGCAACCACCAATCCATTAATTCTAATTTTTTAAATTGCAACTGAAGTCCTTCTTCCCTTATAAAATCTTTCCTGGTACAAGGACATCTCCAAAGACCAATCCAATGTCTTAAATATATTTGACACTATTAAAATACAAAATTAGGGTTACTCTACAGATATTTTGTAACATTCCCATGGTCTTACGGACTTAACCACTTACTGCTTCACATAACTTTGTTTTTGTGTTGATTAGTTTCATTAATTGCTACACTTGGCAAATCCTGTTTCCCCAGTGAGATTTTATGCTGTTTGAGGAGAATGATCAAATGATCATGCTTTCTCTTTTGTTGGCCTTTTCAGTGAATACAGAGCTGGCCAGCCATATTATAGGTCCTCAAGCAATACAGAAAACATTGTGCCTATTCTATGTGTCAGTGCTTGTGATACCTGCAAAGCGATGCCAAAAGGAATATAACACAGCTCTTGTCTTTTCTGACTTTTCACTACAACGAGTGCTGGTAGACACATAAACATAATATAGATGTAATGTGGCAACATAAAATACTGCTAAGTACTATGCTCTAAGTAGCAAAGTATTGGGACCCAAAGAAAAAATAAGGAGTTGTATTTTTAAAAGGTGGGATAGTTTCGGAGATAGATAGTTTCACATAAATATATCTTCCCGGGTCCTGAAATAGGTTTCTTTTGTGGAAGTGGAAGGAAGAGAAAAAGCACAGGTATCATGGCTATAGGAATAGTTCTAGCAAAGGCTATAATGTGTGGACATGCATAGTTGACTTCAGTGGCTTTAAAATTGGCCCAGGAAATAGGTGTGGTTAAATATGAAACAGGACTTAGTTTGAGGCATTTTACAGAGTGCTTGATGTGTATTCCAGAGAAGACCTGTGGCAAGATACTCTCAGTGGTTCCCAAATATTGATGCATATTATAATCACTTAGAAAGCTTATTTGAAAACATACAGATTTCTAGTATTCACACCAGAACTTCTAAATCAAAACCTCTGGAATATAGTCCAAGAATCTATACTTTTAGCAAGCTATCTTGGTAATTCTTATGTATTTGTTGTCAGTATGTAGGTAGACAGGTAGAGGGAGAGTTTTGATGTCAGAAAGCAAGTTAGGGGGCCGGGCGTGGTGGCTCACGCCTGTAATCCTAGCACTCTAGGAGGCTGAGTGGGTGGATCGCTCAAGGTCAGGAGTTCAAAACCAGCCTGACCAAGAGTGAGACCCCATCTCTACTAAAAACAGAAAGAAATTAATTGACCAACTAAAAATATATAGGAAAAAATTAGCCAGGCATGGTGGTGCATGCCTGTAGTCCCAGCTTCTCGCGCAGGTCTGAAGGCAGGAGGATTGCTTGAGCCCAGGAGTTTGAGGTTGCTGTGAGCTAGGCTGACACCATGGCACTCACTCTAGCCTAGGCAAGAAAGCGAGACTCTGTCTCAAAAAAAATAAATAAATAAAAATAAAAATAAAACTTACTATTAAAACCTTATCAAGGATGCAAAATTTTGCGTATTTACAAAACGCTTCCAATCATGCAAAAGGCATGATGAGTTAATGGATTCTGGAGGCAGACGGCTGAGTGTCTAAAAAACCTCAGCTCTGCCACTTCCTAGCTATGTGCTTTGCATAAGTAACGTAATGTCAATTTTCTCATCTGTAAAATGGAAATGGTAATAATAGACTCTAATAAGATTGTTATGAGGATTAAAGGTCCAAATTTGTAAGGTATTTAACAGAGTAACTAGCATGTAATAAGGATATCATAGGTAGATGACAAATTTTTTAAGATCAACTTCAGATGATGGAAAAATAGGTAATTTTTGCCCTATCCTCCATCTTTTCAATTAAAAACATCTGTTTTTGATAATTGGGGAAATTTTTTTTAAATAAAACTTTTACTAAAAGACCTAGATAACACCCTGAACTTAAATTCTCTCTCTTTTCTTTTGAATTAGCTTCTAAATCTTTAACTTTTTCTTCCTTTTTCTGTTCATCTGCTCTGTACACAGTATTCGACATATCATGGCTATGAGCAATCCTGAGGTCTTGATTACTCTTCAGTTTCTAGCATTATCTTTTTATTGTGGTGAAATATATACAAAACATAAAATTTACCATTTTAAGTATACAGTTTACTGGCATTGAGTACATTCATAATGTTGTGCAAACATCGCCACTACCAATTTCCAGAGCTTCCTCATCCCAAACAGAAACTCTGTACCCATTAAACAATAACTCCCCAGTCTCTCATACTGCAGCTCCTGGTAACCTCTACTCTACTTTCTGTCTTTATGAATTCGCCTATTCTAGGTACCTCACAGAAATTGAATCATGCAATATATGTTCCTTTGTGTCTGGTTTATTCACTGAGCATAATGTCTTCAAGGTTCATTCATGTTGTAGCATGGATCAGGACTTTATTCCTTTTTTATGGCTGAATAATATTTCCTTATATGTATATATCACATTTTGTGTATCCATTCATCTGTTGGATACTTAGGTTGTTTCCACCTTTTGGCAACTGTAAATAATGCTGCTATGAACATTGCTACATAAGTATCTGCTGTAGTCCCTGTTTTCAATATTTGTGGGATATAACTGTTAGAATAGAAGACTAGGAGACAGGGCTGAGAAGGGCTGCAGGGGCTTGCAGAGTAGGTGCACATATTGAAAGAAAAACAACCCTCAGGCAGAAGCTAACCAGTCTTCGAGGCTAGGAGCTAGATGCAGGGATTTGCAGAGTGGGTGCAGGTGTTACAGTCTATCTAAGGGGGGGTTGATAACCACAGACAAGGACCAGCTGCAACCAGTTTGTCCTCTATCTAGGTCACCCTACATGAACTTTGGTTAATTACAATACCATTTTCATTGTGGTTTTAAAATTTATCTAACTTTGAAATTGCCATGACAGTTCCAAAACAACTATATAAAGTATGAAAATGGGAGGGAATCCAATTCTAGGATTACTACCCAAATTCTTGGTAAAAACCCAATCCTTTAGCCTTAAATATTTTTCCCTCAATTAGTGAGACTTCATAAGACAAGAAACTTCTTGCTTTTGGTGCAGATGCTCTTTTTGGAGACTGCTCGCTCTTTCTCGTGAGATATTTTCACTTTCAATAAAAGCTGCTTGCTTGGCTTAGGTGGTGTGTCCTGAAATTCTTTTTTCCTACAATCACCAAGAACCTGAAAATACCTCCACTCAGAGGCTGGTATAATAACATACCCAGCAGTAGAATGGCTGGATCATAAAGTAATTTTGTTTAACTTTTTGAGAAACTGCCTAACTTTTCCACAGTGCTCCATCATTTTATATTCCAGTAGCCAGCATTATTTTCAAGCATGGAAGGCTTTTTTTTTTTTTTTTTAGTAAGTTAAATGTAGGCTGGGGATATGTAGCAAAGCTTAGAGTCCTGCCACAGCTTGATGACAAGTTGCTGATATCAATACTCAACACATCTCCTAGACTAAAGCAATGTTTCTCAACATACACAGCTGTGGCTTCCACAGTAATCATCTATGGAGTTTATATATCAGTAGCGCCCTGGATCCCAACCCATATACTAGATCTGTCCAGAAAGTATGCAGCCATTATCAATATAAGGATGGTTTTTTGCACATCATTGTTGTCTGGTGGCCGCGGAGGGTGGTTGGTGTGCTGCTGCTTGGTGAATGATGACATCACTGTACTAGTCAGTGGGACGCTAAATGCCGTTTAGTGAGCGTGTGTACTGTGTGGCCATCACATTCAAAATGACTGAGCAAGTAGAACAATGAATCTACATCAAATTTTGCATAAGCTTGAACATTCCTCCCAGGAAACTATTTGGATGATTCAGAAGGCTTTCTTGGACGGTGCCATGTGTGTGGCACAAATAAGAGTGTGGCACAATTAAAAGTGTGGCACAAATAAAAGTGTGGCACAATGCTTCAAAGATGGTCAAGAATCTGTTGAGAGGGATCCACATTCAGGAAGGCCTGCAATAAGCAGAAAACCCGAGAATGTTGAATGTGTAGGGATTAGGTTAAGAGACACTGGGAGAACTGTGTGAGGTCCCAACGTGCCTAATTTGAAGGGGACTGAGGCATCATTGTCTTTGTACAATGTTTCTTGTATCTTCTCCAATAGATGTCTCTATTTTTCATATTACATGGCTGGATACTTTCTGGACAGACCTTGTATGTTGAATCAGCATCTCTGGGAATGGTTACCCTGAACCAATATTATAAATGCTAAAACATGAGATTCATCAACCTAGGCAGCTGAGTTTTGTTTTTGTTTTTGTTTTTTGAGACAGAGTGTCACTCTGTTTCCCAGGCCAGAGTGCCGTGGCTTCAGCCTACCTCACAGCAACCTCAAACTCCTGGGCTCAAGCAATCCTTCTACCTCAGCCTCCCGAGTAGCTGAGACTACAGGCATGTGCCACCATGCCTGGCTAATTTTTTCTGTATATTTTTAGTTGGCCAATTAATTTCTTTCTACTTTTAGTAGAGACGGGTCTCACTCTTGCTCAGGCTGGTTTTGAACTCATCTTCAGGGATCCGCCCACCTCAGCCTCCCAGAGTGCTAGGATTACAGGCCTGAGCCACCACACCCGGCCTTGTAGCTGAGTTCTTGAGGGCAGGGAAAATATCAGTCATCTTTGTATCCCTCAAGGCCAAACAACAAATCTTCAACAAACATACACTTGAATTAACTAATCACTAGACAATTAGAGAATCTGTAACTGAGATGTGTAGTATACCTTTCATTTGCATGGAACACGTATTTTACCAGCTGTACTCTACCAAGCCATTTTATGACGCCAAGAATCTTTACTCTGTGCATAATTTTCAGCTCAGAACTTCATGCTTTGAGGCTGGGTTAATAAAAGGATATGGACTTCGAATTGAAAGAGCTGTCTCTGCCTGACCTCTAAGATCAGTATCTAGGAATCAAGTTTATAATTTGAAAACATTGATAACATTTTTTAATTCTACCAACTTGAGTTTTTCTGAAGCCCAAATGATACTATGTGTAAGAAAGCCTGCTGTACAAATGTTGTCTAATAACTTAAAAATCATGTTTTTAAGTCTTCCTAAAGACTTTATATATGCTGATAAATTTACTGCTGTAAACCATACCAAATGAGCAGATGAGAATAGAAACATATCACAGAAAAGCTTTAAGTGGATGCACACTTATTCATTCATTCACTCATTCATTGATCACGCATATATCAAGCCTCTGTATCTACATCATGCATAGCTCCGTGTGGAAAACAGTGACTAAACGAATTCAAATCTGTCCTGTAGGGGTTTAGTTTCTTTGAATATATTAATAACTAGCAAGCTGTCCTTCTTCGTATCAACACTCCTTCCCTCATAACAAACGGTAAGGGACAAGCTTGAAACTCGAGGGCGCTATCTCTTTAACACGTAATAGAACTCAGATTGCCTCGATCGCAGGCTGCCAACCCTCTGCCTCTCATCGGTCTCATTCCTGTTCTGGTTCTATCCTCCTTCTGGACATCAAACCTGGGGAAACGCGAGTGTTAGTAAACGTAGACTTTGCTGCGAGGCCGCACCTGACTCTGGAGCGTCTCTCCCGGTAGCTCTCTCCGGCGCCCGCGGAGTCTCGGGGCTCGACTGGCCATGCCTGGAGCGCGGAGTTTGACTGGGCCGCCGTTGTTGTAGTGACCGGGAGGCGCTGCCTCTCTGGGCAGACGGTTCCGGGCGCCGCACGGTCCCCCCTCTCATCCCGTCCCCTCCCCTCCCCCGGTTTCCCCCACCCGCCCGATCCCGGCGCCGATCACTCCCTCCATGGCCTCCGCCACGGTAAGGACGGGCTGGGGGGCCCCTCCCCGGAGCCGGTCCCTAGTGTGCGGTACCAGGTGGGGACCGCACCCGCACCTAGCGGGACACGGAGGCAGGTGTCTGCAGCCGGGTCCTTCGCCCCTCGCCTCTCGCCCTCGGGCATCCGCGTCTCACTCTGCCACCGGGGCTGCTGGAGCGCCGAGCCCAGACCCGGCTCCCGGGCGCTCCTCTCCGCTTCTCTCCCGGAGCTCCGGACGGAGTCTGGCGGCCCCATGGCCTCCAGAATTCTCTGAGAGTTTCCGTGGAGTGCCTGCGTCAGAATCACCTGGGAGTTTTTTTTTTTTTTTTCTTCTAAGTGCCAAAGCCTGGGCGCCACCTCGCACCTGCCTACTCCGACCCAGCGGGCGGGGCCTCGGAACCTGCTTGTCAAACGAGCCGCCCAGGGGGTCTCTCGGATGCGCTCGATTCTGGGACGCGCGAATGGAGGATTTTGCCGGCTCTGCAGGGGGGACCGGCGCCCCGCGTCTCCCTGCAGGGGTAGTGGGCGCCGCGCCCGCGCGTGTGCTGCTGCCGGGCACCCCTGCCCCGCTAACCCACCGCCTATGCGGCCCTCCCCAGGCAGCGCCCCTGGGGAGCGGCAGCGGTGATCCCGACCCCCAGAAATCGAGGTCTGCGTGTGCTTTCAAAACCTGACAACTTTCCTTCTCAGGAGGACCCCGTTCTGGAGCGTTATTTTAAAGGCCACAAAGCTGCAATCACTTCTGTGGACTTCAGCCCCAACGGCAAACAACTTGGTAAGTTTTATTCCTGTTTTCCTTTTGTCATGAAACAAACGCTCAGCTGCTCGGAACCTTTTCCTCCAGTGCTGGCTGTGTCCCCGGGAGAACCACTGAGGACCTCTGTGGGGGTGAGAGCGGCCGGGGACTCGGGGAGCCCAGCGCCGCGGGGCGCAGGCGGGGCCACCTGTCATCCGGCCCTCACTCCGGCCCAGCAAAAAGAGCCGCGGGTCTGTCGTTCCGGGCCTGGCAGACGACTTTCGCGAACTAACCACCAGGAGGAGTGTGTGGGAAGGGGAGGGGTTTGTCCTCGGCCCGGGGAGGGTGGGGTGTTGGCTGGAGAGTTTGTGAAAAGTTGTGAGACTAGCAGGAGGAAGTGGGGACGGAGAAGTTGGTCTGTGCCGGAGGCCGAGAACCGAAAGGTCTCTGATGACTCCTGGAAAGCCCAGGTGGCAGGAAAGGAGCCGAGCGCCTGCATGAAAAGAAGGACCTGCTGGGAGGTACGCTCCTACCTGAGCCGGGAGCCCAAGCTGCGGCTTCCGCAGCCCTTCCCCTGTGTAGTGGCTGGGTGGCTGCGTCTGCGCCTTAGCTGTTAGGATCCGGATGGCCGTGAGGTGGACTTGGGCAGGCAAGAGCTGCCTGCTCCTGGCCCTTCTAACAGTGGCCTATATGCTGGTGGAGCTCTTGGTCTCCACTTTCCATGCCTCCCCAGCAGCCGGCCATGCCAGGGAGCGGGGGTCAAGACGGCTCTCAGACCTCCAGGAACAGGCAGAGGATTTGTCTCGCCCACTTTATGAGAAGCCCCCTGCAGATTCCCATGCACTTGGGGAGTGGGGGAGAGCCAGCAAACTCCAGCTCAACGAGGGTGAACTGAAGCAGCAAGAAGAACTCATTGAGAGATATGCCATTAATATTTACCTCAGTGACAGGATTTCCCTGCACCGCCACATAGAGGATAAAAGAATGTATGAGTGTAAATCCAAGAAGTTCAACTATAGGAGACTTCCTACCACCTCTGTTATTATCGCTTTCTATAATGAAGCCTGGTCAACTTTGCTCCGCACCATTCACAGTGTTTTAGAAACTTCTCCTGCAGTCCTTTTGAAAGAGATCATCTTGGTCGATGACTTGAGTGACAGAGCTTATTTGAAGACACAACTTGAAACTTACATCAGCAATCTGGATAGAGTTCGCTTGATTAGAACAAATAAGCGAGAGGGGCTGGTTAGGGCCCGTCTGATTGGTGCCACTTTTGCCACTGGGGATGTCCTCACTTTCCTGGATTGTCACTGTGAGTGTAATTCTGGTTGGTTGGAACCACTTTTGGAAAGGATTGGTATGGATGAAACAATAGTTGTTTGTCCTGTTATAGACACCATTGATTGGAATACTTTTGAATTCTACATGCAAACAGGGGAGCCCATGATTGGTGGGTTTGACTGGCGTTTAACATTTCAGTGGCATTCTGTCCCCAAACATGAAAGGGACAGGCGGAAATCAAGAATTGACCCTATCAGATCACCCACCATGGCTGGAGGACTGTTTGCAGTCAGCAAGAAATATTTTCAGTACCTTGGAACATATGACACTGGAATGGAAGTTTGGGGAGGTGAAAACCTGGAGCTTTCTTTTAGGGTGTGGCAGTGTGGTGGTAAATTGGAGATCCACCCATGTTCCCATGTGGGCCATGTGTTCCCCAAGCGGGCACCATATGCTCGCCCCAATTTCCTACAGAATACTGCTCGGGCAGCGGAAGTGTGGATGGATGAGTACAAAGAGCATTTTTACAATCGAAACCCTCCAGCAAGGAAAGAAGCTTATGGTGATATTTCTGAAAGAAAACAACTACGAGAACGGCTGAAATGCAAGAGCTTCGACTGGTATTTGAAAAATGTGTTTCCTAACTTACATGTTCCAGAGGATAGGCCAGGCTGGCATGGGGCTATTCGCAGTATGGGGATCTCTTCTGAATGTTTAGATTATAACTCTCCTGACAACAATCCCACCGGTGCTAACCTTTCACTGTTTGGATGCCATGGTCAAGGAGGCAATCAATTCTTTGAATATACTTCAAACAAAGAAATAAGGTTTAATTCTGTGACAGAGTTATGTGCAGAGGTTCCGGATCAAAAAAATTATGTAGGAATGCAAAATTGTCCTAAAGATGGGTTCTCTATTCCAACAAACATTATCTGGCATTTTAAAGAAGATGGTACCATTTTTCATCCACACTCAGGACTGTGTCTTAGTGCTTATCGGACACCTGAGGGCCTACCTAATGTACAAATGAGAACTTGTGATTCTCTAGATAAAAATCAAATTTGGAGTTTTGAGAAATAGAAGAGCACAACAGCACTTTTGTCATGAACTGACAATAGCTACAAGAAAGTCAAAGAGACTTCAGAGAGCCTCAGTGAAGATTGTATTTTATGAGAAGTCACCCTACCATCATTTGTGAGAGCACTGAAAAGCTGTGGTTGATTTTGGTATATTACACTGAAACTGGGTGCACAGAGTGCTGCTGTTTAATATTTCAAAGTGCCTTACTTATGGATTGTTTTATTTAAAAGCTTTGTCAGTATGGTCTCTTCCTTCTCCTTAAAGCAGTTGACTGTGAATTGCAATATACAGAACATTTAAATGCCAGACTTAATATTAAAGAATGTAAAAGTCCAAGGAAAATGAGGTGTGATTTATGTTAATGGGTAAGTTCACTGCACATTCCATTTTTCAATAAAATTCATAAATGTGCAGTTTGAGCTATTGCTATTTTGAATACATAGATTTGAATTTCTTTTTGCAAGCACATTAAATTTTAGGGTTTGGTTTACTTTTTAATCTAATTTTCCTCTAATCAAATAAAAATCAAAGAAAGTTGATCTTAAGAAGAAAGGCCTGGTTTTAGATGTATGATTGGAAAAGGGCATTTGTTTGAATGTGAGTTCAGAGGTCTTTTTAACATACAGACATCTCAGAAAACTATAATCACATCTAAGTGAAATGGGGAGATATTTACATTCCACACTTTGTACACTTGAGCTTTTGGACTTAACTGATTTATATATTGATACCTCAAATCGCTCTGATTTTATAAGCTGTCCTCTCTGTTAACCTGTTTCTTTGTGTAAGGCATTTTCTGATTACACTTCCTTAAGTTATGAATGTACTAGAAAGGGGCTCATTCAGAATACTGTGCCTCCTTTTGTTAATGCCTAATCATTTAAAGTAAACACAACTGAAGCCTCTCTGAAGTTAAACCTAACTGTGTTTACTAAAATGTGTGAAACTGAAAGTGGGCCAGATTTTACAAAGGCTGTGGAACTCTTCTACAAGTTCTTGCTGATCAGGATATTTAAGGATTTTTCTTAAACATGCAAGGAAACAAAGATTGCCTTGACAGTTGTGAACACTGACTTCCAGCTTGTTTTCAGTACCTAGCACTGAGCCTGGCACTCAGGCAGCTTTTGGTAAGTGGGTGAATGAATGACTAAATGAATGGCTCAACTGAGGAATGTGACTTTGGTCAAGTAATTTGATGTGTTTTTGCCTTAGTTTCCTCATATGTAAACCGTGTGTGCTGGATTAGATCTTGAAGATCCCTTCCAGCTCTGAAATGTTGATTGTATATTATGTCCTTCTCAAAGTCAGTCACCGTGCAATCTTTTTTTTTTTTTTTTCCACATTTGCTGACCTTTATTCAAAGCATGGTGCTCTCACTATGCAATCTTTACAACACTTTTTATTTCTTTACTTTTGACATAGGTACTGTTGAGCAGATGTTCAATCCACTTGTGAAGCTGGAAGAGAGAAATGGTTTTAAAAATTAAGTGAGCTGTGCTCTCCCAAAATGGTTTATTTCTATGGGTTAAGAAGTTGTAGTCAGTGTTTGTAGCCATTTCGTTTTGGCAATTGTTGAACGAGCTTTGTTTTTAAAACCTTTAGACTCTAATATTTTCACTAACAATGTAAATATTTTCCAAACTGCATTATTTGAAAAGTAAAAGCTTTTTTTTTTTTTTAAAAAAAAAAAAGTACTTTTATTGATTTCATACCAATGTTATATCCAGAAATTACAGGCTGGATTTAAAATTAAATTTCAATTACTTCACTTTGATTTAGAGTTATGAAAATGCATTGTTTAATGAATTAGTCCACAGTATTCATGAGTAAAGTTGTTTTTAGTGTTTACTTGATGACTTGGAGAGTAGGAATTTTGTAAAATTGAATTTAAGAAAATTATTTAGGATAACCATTTCAAAAAACGAAATTGCTATGCAATCTTGAATATTTCGTTTCTCTTTTGCCTCTTAAAATGAAAATGTGTTCATTGTTTTTATAAGTTATTCATGACCTTAAAATTTATCAAAGAATGGTCCAGATTCTGGGTCCACTATGCTTGGCCCTGGATTTAATTTAAGAAGGATTAATAATAATGTAATGCTCTGGATTTTTCAAAAGAGATCTCCTAAACCCACCCACTACCCTTGCCCAGTCTGCTGTTTAAAACATTTTTCTATTTTTTACTTTTTTATTTTCTCTTTTTATTTATTTTGTTGTTGTTCTTGTTAGCCCTCAATCATATGGAAGAACTAAAATTGATATATTCTGGAAGTACTTACTGGAGTTATTTTTATTTTAGTATCTTGATGTCAAAAGGGAACAAAGGCTTTTAAAAGTAAAAGCCTCTGTTAATTCTTTATTTACTTTTTGCCCTAAATTGCTGAGTGTGATCCAACAGTCTTTTAGGAAGAAATTTTAGGCTGGTGCTTTATTTACATCAATAATTCAGAATAGTTAGGCTATTCATTTTTCAAGATAATACATGTAACAGAAGAATGAAACTCTCACATGTTTATATGTAGGCACATTCCCATTTAATTCCAAAATGTACTATAATGCTGTATACAAAATATATTTTGATTCCCTAATTTTAATTTATTAGTACCAAAGTTCTCTTTTACTGTAGACAATTAAGAGTTGATCTTTTAAGTTACATGCTTAATAACAGTTATAGGAAAATATTTTGTGGGCAAGGAGTTTCAGTTCACTATGTCATTTAATGTCCAATTCTATGAATAGATTTACTATCTAAGCATATTTAGCAGTTATTTTTTTAAATAATCTAAACATTGAAAGGATCTCTTTGATTCAAAATAACTTGTTTGTAAAAGAAAATTTGTTTACTCACTCAGTAGTAGACTCTTGCATATTCATTATGTGTTGTCAAATCAAATTTTTCTAGGTTGAAGATGAGATTATCTTTAAGTTGTATAGTCTTAGTTTAGATTCTCTATTTTGGTTAATAAAATGTTTAGTTTTTACTTGTTTGTCCTTTTGAATTGCTGTTTTAATAATATTTTTAAATGAGCACAAATGTTGAGTTCAGATTAATCTCTTAAATTTTTTTTCTGTATGATGCATGATTTCCATCTTGTTTTCCCCTTTGGTAATGATATTTGCAATGTTGATTAAGACATGTAAAATAAAATGTATGTCTAATTATTTTTGCAAATGGATTGTGATGATTTTAGTGTATGGGATCATGCTCCTGTATACACTGTTATGATGGTAATAGCGGTAAGTTAAGTTTATAATTCTTTTAATTGTTTGAAAATGCAGACAGTAGCATATTTTTTAAAAAATCAAGCTTCCTTTTATTTAGCAAGGTGTCATTAACCAGTAAGTATTCTGAAGTGGTGTTAGCACTATTATTGCATTAACTCATGAACAAACTAGAAATGATCAGGGATCTCTGGGACCCATTGGGGCCACTATAAAAGGAAGCAAGTGAGGGAAAGGCACGGTGGCCCTTCCCTGTAATCCTATCACTCTGGGAGCCTGAGGTGGGAGGATCATTTGAGCTCAGGAGTCCGAGACTAGCCTGAGCAAGAGTGAGATCCTGTCTCTACTGAAAATAGAAAAATTAGCCAGGTGTGGTAGAATGTGCTGGTAGTCCCAGCTACTTGGGAGGCAGAGGCAGGAGGATCACTTAAGCCCAGGAGTTTGAGGTTGCTGTGAGCTATGATGATGTCACTGCATTATTCTACCCAGGGTGACAGAGTGAGACTCTATCTTAAGGAAGAAAAAAGAGGAAGCAAGTGGGCACCTGGGCACATTAGCACCAATTTCAGTACCCTGGGCCGAAAAAAAAAAAAAATGTCTGTCCTGTAAACTACATAACCTCACATTTTCCCTACCCACGAGTACAATTCTCTTCCACCAGTGGCATCTCTCTTCCTCTGTAGTGATTCCTGACTAACATCCTACATCCCTGCCTCTCCCTGGCCAGACACACTGCCTGAGGATGGCTATTCTAAGGACTCTGCTTTAATGTCAGATGTCTTAGAGCCGCATTTAGAATATATATAGGCAAGCGAAACATTTTCACTGATCTCTTTTATTTTATACACTTAAAAGTTGCTGTAAGTACTTAGCATTCTAACCACGTTCTCTTCCTAAGTGACTCTTGCAACTCTGTAAATCACTTCATTTCTCTGTGTTTCAGTTTCATGATTGTAAAAAAAGACTGGGAAATCCATAAAGATGGTACATTAGTGGTTGCCAGAGTCTAGGGGAGGGAGGAATTGAGAGAGTGATTGCTAATGGAGGTGGATTGGGGGTGGTGATGATGGGGATTTTCTGGAACTAGTGACAATAGTTGTACAACTTTATCGAAATACTGAATTGTACACTTACTTTAAAAGGGTAAATTTTATGCTATGTGAATTACATCTCAATTTTTAAGAATACTTCATGAAAAAAAAGTGAGCTGGAGAATTTCAGATGTCCCAGAAAAAATTTCTCCTTTCTGTGTGCCTCTGTGCATGTTAGACTTTAGGACAGGCTAGCAGGATTTATTATTAATAATACCACTTGAGTCATTTTTTTTAATTTGCAGAATTAAGAAAATGAAATATATATGTGAATCTGTGTGTTAGTATAAGGTAGGACACGGAAATCAGTTTGATTTGGAGTTTTTCCTAGAATTCAGAGAAACCTCAATCAATCCTTTTGGATAGGAGGTACGGATTATTGTAAAAGGTGAAATGAGTTCCTGATTTGTATAGTTCTCTACAGTAGAATTGAAAACTAGAGAAGTCCTTCCAACTTGCTAATAATTGGGTGTTACTTGTCCTGTTGTGCCAAGCTTTATGACTTTCCCAGGCTGGCCTGGGAGAGAGATCTACTGCAGGCCAGTGGTGTCCTCAGCTGTCTGGTCACCATTCTAACACATTTATTTGCATATCTAATCCTGTTCAAAAGGAGAAAGGGAGGTACTCTATTTATTTAGTACTTCCTTATTTACTGAATGCTATTATGTGCCAGACACTATCCTGTGCTCTGGGTATACATTACAAAGGTGAACAAAACAGATGGGCTCCATAAGATTGTATGAAGAGTTCATGGTCCAGTGGTAGAGGCAAATATTAGCAAGTAAACACACAAATCCATGTATAAATACAACTTGATGAAACAAAGAAAAACAGTCAAATGCTGTGAAGGAAAGGAACAGGGTACTTTGCCAGAGAATAATAATAAAGACCTACTTAAACATACAGGGTCGAGGAACACTTCTCTGCAGAAGTTAGATTTAACTGAGACCTGAAGGAGAAGTTTGCCAGGTAAAGACTAGAAAGAGAATAGCATAGGCAAAGACCAAGTGTGGGAAAGAGCTTCCTGGGTCAAGGAAGTAAAAGAATGCTAGATTGGGTAGAGCCTGGTAAGCAAAGGAAGAGAGACAGAGAGAGATGAAACTGCAGGGGGGTGCAGAGGCAGCTTGAGCAGGTAGGAGGGTGGGAGGCTGTGGTGTGTTAAATGGTGGCTCTCTCCAAGATAGTTCATATCCTGGAACCTGTGACCTTACTATTTGGGAAAAAGGTCTTTCTAGATGTTTTTAAGGATCTCAAAATGACATCATCCTTGATTATCTGGGTGGGCCCAAAATCCAGTGACAAATGTCCTTGTAAGACACACACAGAAGAAATAAGAGGAGGCCACTTAAAGCCAGAGGCAGAAATTAGAGTAATGTAGCCACAAGGCAAGGAGTACCTGGAGGCACCGGCACTGGAATCTTGAAGAAGGAAGGAATGAGATCTCCCTTTGAGCTTTTGGAGGGAGTATGACCCTGACAACACCTTGATTTCAGACTTCAGACTTCTGACTTCTAGAACAGTGAGAGAATAAATTTCTGTTGTTTTATGCCTCCAAGTTTGTGGTAATTTATTACGGCAGCCACAGGAAACTAAGGCATGCTTTAGGATTTCGTTCTGGGAGTCATGGAAATTGTTGAAGGATTCTAAGTAAGAGAATGACATAATCTGATTTATATCTCAAAAAGAGCACTCTGGCTTATATGTGGAGATTGCACTATTAGTAGGGAAGTCATTTAGGAGCTATTCTAGTAATACCAGCAGGAGATGATGGTGGTTCAGACTAACACGGTGGTCTTCAAACTATAGTGGTCTGGGCAGGAGAGAGATTTGGAGTTATTAGCGTGTAGCTGTTATTTAAAGTCATGGGAATGGATGAAATCACCTGGGAAGAATATAGAACTATGATAGCAAATGGCCCATGTCTGAGCCCTGAAGAGCTCCAACCTTTAGATCAGAAGAGGAGATTGCAGAAGAATCTAAGAAGGCATAATTATTTTAGAAAGATAGGAGGGAAAGTCATTATATTAGGGCATTAAATGTGAAATGTATGATTTTGAATCAAAAGCATAATTTATTATATCTCAAACATGAAGCAGTACAATTAGTCAAAGTATGCGCCTAAACTGTCAACACAGTTTTGCCACCTTAACGGTAGCTTGTTTATGCCAGCAGCGAAGAAGCCTGGTGAGTGAGTGGTGATGAAATCAAGGTCGGGTGTGGTGGCTCACGCCTGTAATCCTAGCACTCTGGGAGGCTGAGGTGGGAGGATCGCTCAAGGTCAGGAGTTTGAAACCAGCCTGAGCAAGAGCGAGACCCCGACTCTACTATAAATACAAAGAAATTAATTGGCCAACTAAAAATATATAGAAAAAATTAGCCGGGCATGGTGGCACATGCCTGTAGTCCCAGCTATTTGGGAGGCTGAGGCAGGAGGATTGCCTGAGCCCAGGAATTTGAGGTTGCTGTGAGCTAGGCTGATGCCACGGCACTCTAGCCTGGGCAACAGAGTGAGACTCTGTCTCAAAAAAAAAGAAATCAAGAAAGGCATTTTCCACAGCTTGTTGAAAATTAAATATTTTTCTTTGCAAGAAGTGGTCCAAAATCTGTAAGAAGTGGTAGTCAGTTGGTATAAGGTCTGGTGAATGTGGTGGATGACAGAATTTCCAAGCTTCTGTATTTTGATTAGTGTTGTTTGTATAGCTTGTGGTCATGTGTTGTCTTGCAAGAGGATTGGCCTGTGTCTATTGACCAGTCTCAGCTGCTTAATTGCAAACATCCTCATCATTTCGTTCAATTGGTTGCAGTACACATGCACTGTAATCAATTGACCAGGTTTCATGAAGCTGTAATGGATAATACCAGCACTGGGCCACCAAACAGACACTATTAGCTTTTTTTGATGAATATTCGATTTTGGACTGTTTCGGCACTTCCGTCTTTGTCCAATCATCGTGCCAAATGCTTGCAATTGTCAAAAAAGAATCCATTTTTCATCACATGTAACAATATGGTATAGAAATAGTTCACCTTTATGTTGTGACAACAAAGAAAGGCAAGCTTTGAGACAATTTCTCTTCTGATGCTCATTTAATTCATGTGGTACCCATTTCTCCATCTCCTTCACCTTGCCGATTTGTTTCAAATGATCCAATATTGTTGGAATAATAACGTCAAACCTTGATGTTCGACATTAACAAACCTGTTAACGCCTGTCACGCTTAGGTTGAGACGCATTTGCTTCTGCTACAGCTGTCAGCTTGTCATTATCCATCTTGAACTCAAGTAGCCCACACAGGTCATTTGCAAGATTAAAATCACTGGAATGGAATTTTTCAAACCATCAACATACTGTGTGTTCATTAGCCACATCCTTCCCAAACACTTATATTTTGAGCTGTCTACGCTGCATTGATTCCACAACAGAACTCATATTCAAAATAACCGAAATTGTTTACTTATCCATGGTTTCACAAAAATTGCTCTAAAAAAACTTTGAAAGATAATCACTAGCCAAACCATGCATTTGAAAGGATGTATCTTCACAATAAAAATAAAACAAACAGTGTCAAAGTGAAATGTCAGATATATCAACTGTCAAGCTTAGTACTTAAGGAAGTCAGACATTTCATACTTAATAACCTAATAGTAGGGTATTGTGAAAGCCAAGGTCGGAGTAGGGTAGAATAAAGAGGAAAAAATATTAAATAGTCATTAGCGAGAGTCAGGAGGGAACTAATAGAGAGTCGTGCACAGCTTTGCAGTGTAGAGACTCATGTGAAATTCATGATCATGAATTTATACGTCTTGTCTTTCCAGTCTGTCAAGGGAGGGGAGGTATTCAGCAATTCTCACTAGTATAGATAGTCTCAGAAAAGGCAGAGTGATTGGGATTTTTCCAGGGGGATTTGAAGGAAGGAGGGAGAATCAAGGGATTGAATGTATGTGGGGAGTGGGTTATCAATTGAATAAGAAGAAAAATGACAATTATAAATTGGATTGTGAACTGAAGGTGGTGAGAAAAATACCTCAGTGGAGAACTCAGGTCAATCAGTTGGAGTTCTGGATGAGATGGAAGCAACTAAGTAGTGAGTGATAAGGAAAGCAAGTTGTCATGGTGGATTTCATTCAGTGATTTGGGAAGTGTTCAGGTTCCACTGGTGACAAGATCCAGGCTGTGCCCATAGAATGGGTTTGCTGAGAAGACATGGAAGAAAAG